GGCTAGCCCCAAACCAACACAGTGAAATGTCACTCATTCCTATCTGCTGAACTTGCAGATCTATATTTTCCAAATCGTGTTCTCTTTATTTGGTCCCCCCCCGCGAGGTGCTTTTTACGTTTGAGGGTAGGAGAAAAAAGAGGCTCTAGTCTAAGTAGCTTATTGGAGACGGTGGGCGTATTTGAGAGTTGGACTCAATGCAGGAATAAATGTTGCTATTTGAGTCTATGTATTTTTGAGAACCTCTCTACCACTTTTACTGTGAATGTGCAATACTTTTAGAAATCTTAGAATGTCTTTTTTAAACTAATGGCCTCCACGACTCAATATTTTGTTAAGCCTAGTATTTGTTATTCTGGAGAGAGAAAATGTAAATAGAAATTGGAAAATAAATTTTACAATAAAATGCAAATATTTTTTCTGCATTTTTTGGCTTTTTTAGTGAGAACAGGAACGATGTTTGGTTATGAGCATGCGCACAATTTAACATACGGGGTAATATATTTACATGCATGATATCGAGGCAATCAATCAATCATTCTTTTTTGAAAAACATGAGGGGAAGAAGCAAAAAGAAGCGATCTTTATATTTCTTCTGGAAAATAATCTTATCTGGTGATTTGTATCATAAAATCAAAACTCGGTTCACAAGAATAATACAGTAACAATACCTGACGTTAATTCAAGAATACTTGGTTGCATAATATTGATGCATACTTCGCAAAAACAAGAGAACTGAGAAGGTAGGCGAAAGTTTATATATGTTATTTATTTTCGTATGAAAGATTTGGGAATTGCTCTTTGAAAAATGTGCACTAGCCAGCTTAAATCGTTTGTTTTATTTGTCGTTGTTGTTTTAAAATTACGATTGAAACTGAAAAAGCAACTGTTCGCTAGTACTACACAACACAATGTTCGATTCAAATAATGAAATATGTCTGCATTTGCATTTCAAAATTGATCCGATCCGATCATGTTTACTCGTGAACAAGCAAATATATGCGTAAGGAAAAGCTTCTGAAAGAATATATTTACTCTTACTGTATAACCGTTTAAAGGAAATAAAATATTTATGATTGAACATTTAAGTATGTAAAACTTTTTTGCTGGTCCTTAATCTTGCACGTTTACATAATTCTGTCAAGTTCGTCTCTGATCATGCCTGCTAAAACCACTTTGATTTGGTTGTATGAAACTTTTCGATTGAGAGCATCTCTGATCTGCCGAAGAGTCGGTAAACCCTGTTCAATTAGACGAGCAATCGTATTGGTAAGATGACTGTGAATGTTCAATTCACTAGATAGCTTTTCTATTGATACCATTGGAGCTCCAGCACAATAGGCATCAATTAGGTATACTTCGGCTGTTGGAATTTCCACTTGTAGAGCCTTGGCAATACACTTTATGTTCGAATGGCTTTTTCCAAACATTTTCGCTGCTTGAATCTTTTTTGCTGATGCTTTATTTTTCCCATACAGCGCCTTCAAACTTTTATTCTGTTGTATAAAGTATACGGAAATACCTGTCAAAACTTTCATGATGTTTTGGCGTGTTGTGCTTACTTTTGTGTGTATTGATAATTTATAAATATATGTTTGCCTAGTATAAAAATCATAATGAAAGTGCATGGTCTAGCCCTCTGGGTCTAGCCATAGACACGTATTTATTTAGATAGCTAGGCTACGACATGTGTACCAGTAAACTATGAATTCTTGTTTAAAAATGCTGGAGGTAACTCGCGAATCCAAATTGAAAATTACTTCAGGCCCAGTTTTATGCTTATAGATTTACAACTTCATGAAGGATTTATAATCGTGTAGAGACGTTTTTGCCCTGTTTAATGTTGTATTATTAAACACCGGGTATCCCATACTAGCAAGGAAATAAATTTCTAATTATACTAATACCTAGGAAACATAAACTTACACTACCTTTATTTCTATAACACTGCCAGTTGAAGTTGAAGGAACTTCGCCTTCCATCTTCACTTGAATGCCAATTTGGTCTATGAATATTGTTTTTAAAAAACTCTGTCAGACAGTGTAGTACTAGTATTGAAAAGGGTTTTTTTAAAACAAACAAAACATTTTGTTTACCTAGGAATATAGCTGTTGAAAACGGGGAAAATATCACAAAAAGAGTGTATTTAAAGTCCATTTTACTTTTATTCAATGCAGTCGTTCTGCGATATATTATAAAGCGTATTTAAATGCGTTTTTCTGTATATTTTATTTCAATTTTAACAGTTATTGGCAACATTATTAAGCCAAGGGCAAGGTTATTTAAAAGGCCATAGGCATAGCGTACGTTTTGACCTGTCGCAATTCACAAAAAATTACACTTTTAGCATAGAATTTTGAACCAGAATTTAATATGGAATAAAGAATAATTGTACTAACCTTTTCACTTAAACTTTTTTGTCTTTAATGCTTTCTTTTTGCTGTTATATTTTTTCCCGCCAAAACGTTTTTGAAGTATCGCTCACTTGCAGTTCGCCGTAACCCGGGTATAAGCTCCCGGGTTTTTGGCCCTTAGTAGCAAAAGCCTGGTTACTAAGTTTTGAGCGTTTTTGACAAAAATTACGCGAGTTTGTAAAAAATCTCCTCTTAATATGTTATTTTTCATGTCTGGATCGAGGCATTTGAATTTGAACTTGAATATGTACATGCCGATTGTTCAAAAGGCTTATAGCATTCAAACGTTTGTTGGTATATACTGTAGGGATGCAACTACCCCCTGAAAAATATAAGCCAGGAGAATTTCAATGTTTCGAGCAACAGCCCTTTATGTGGAGTCACTAACTTTGAACAGATGAATTAAGGGCCTTCGCTCGAAACGTTGAAATTCTCCTGGCTTATATTTTTCAGATAGTTTCATCTTTAGCAACAAAAGCTTGTTATTATTCAGGACTCAAAATAATGGGAGATAGGCCTCCGGTCAACTTGATTTTAGCTCGGTCAAAATTTGTTTTTGACCAGTCATTGATACGCGTTCACTAACAGTGAAACAAACTATTAGAAACATTGTATGTTTGCATGGCGATAAAATATAATAGTATTGTTTGTGGAAACACCACGTAAATTTATTTCTGCAAAGCTTTCGATCCGTAAGCCCGGATCTTCACCAGTGCTAATAATATAGCTTTGCAGAAATAAATCTACGTAGTGTTTCCACAAACAAAACTATTATATATTAGAAACTTGTTTGAATAGTGTCATCATAGCTTCATGTTTTAATTCAAGACGTCGGCAATCACATTCATTTGGAAGGCATGAAAATGTGGCCTGTCAAAATAACCGGTGAGGTAAAAAAGTTACTGGTCAAGAGGCATTTTTGACCGTTGACCGGCCGTTATTTTGAGCCCTGTTATTGCCACTACCTACACTGGCACAGACAGTTCATTGTTATAGCATAAACTGCAGTGTTTAGCATGTTCCGTATGCCATATTTTGCAATGGGGAGAGGGAAGATGAGTGATACCACAGGGTTTGAAATTTGAAATTCTCAGGGCTATGGAATATCATACTAGTAACTCTAGTGTCCATCCTGACAATCTAGTGCCCCACATTTAGAAAACAGATACCATATCCTAGCAAATAGTAACCTATGAAACAAATTAAGACAAAAACAGTTTACAATTGTTGAGAAATAGACTAACTGGGAAAGAGGGTGTAAATTCTCCAAACAAAGACACGGTGAATGGAGGGGGGGGGGGGAGGCATATTGTCCAACACCAAAGGCAGGAAACACCTCTAGGAGGGTCGGGGACATGCAACCCTGGGTAAAATCTAGGGTCCCTGAAATGCGACTTCCAGCATTTTGGGGGAAGGTTATACAGAATTCCAAAGGTATAATCTATTCGAGAAGTGAAAGTCTAGTATCCAGTTTTGAAAATAATGTTGACTTAAAAAGTCACGATTCGAAGTGACAAGAGAAGCTAATGAGGTTTTGCAAACTTAAGTATTACCACTAATTTTATTTCCCCTAATTTACTTTTAATTAATTAGTTACTTATTTTTTACTAGATCTTGTTCGCTGCCACAAAGGTATGCCTGCCCCCTCCCCTCACACACACGCGTTTTTCATCAGTTATCATATTTTGATGAATTAGAAAATTCATCTTGAAGAGAATTGGGTGGGATGTGTCCTCCCCAGTCTTCGCCATGGCACCACCACTGCACACAGTAGCATTAGAGTTTGCGATAATGCTGTAATTGGGATCCAGATCAAATTAGAGAGATATATATTTATTGATGAAACATAAAGATATTATTCAAATTTACTAAGGGAATGCAAAGCAAACTTGGTATGGGAATTGGGTGTGGTCATTGACATTACTGCCTAGTAAAAGACAGCTCTCAATACAGATTTTTTTTAAATACCAAGATCTGTATTTTTGTACAATTATTACTTGTTTGAAAACAAAGAATATCTTACTTATGTGAAAGAACATCACAATATGACGCCGGATATTTTGGCTCTAAAGTAATTTAACTCGACAACAACATAAGTGACTCCCCAATTTTATTTCATAAAATAATTTCTCTCAGCATATTGACAATTTTAAATATTCCGTGGACCCAGAACTTTTCAATTTACAGTAGGTAAATTTGATTATTCATTATACATTTTTTTGCCTCGAGAGAATTTATTTTGAAATTGCAATTGTCAGTCAGAAATTCAATATACTAACAGAAATCATTTTATGAAATAAAAATTGGGGTCACTGATGTTGTTTTTTAATTAAATTTTTTAATGTCAAAATATCAGCCATATTGAAACGTCATTTTTATAGCAACTGTAGGTTTGTAACATTTGTGCAAAAATTCAAACTTCTTAGCTCTTGTTTTACTTTAGTAGGGCACTCGTTGTTTTCTGAACAAGTAATAATATTGTCCACAAATACAGATCTCAATCATAAATTTTAAAATACTATATTATCGAGCTTTCCGTAACAAATGCAGTCAAGAATATTAAAAATATACTAGAAATTGTCTGGGGGAGAGACCCCTCTTTTTTCTTACAACTCGGAAGATTTGATTGCTATAACCGGGTGTTTCTCTCTCAAAAATTGCGGTGTTTTATCGTCAATACATCGCTTGGCAAGTTAACAACGTCGGATGGCATTTCAGGTCTGTAAGAGAAAATTGATCTTTTCTCCAATGCCTTTCGGTTTTCTTCCTGCTCTACAACAATTACGTTTGTTCTGTAGAGTGAACTGATGCAAGTCTGATTAATATATGATGTCAATGCTTTCTTGTTTTTACTTTTTCCATGTATTGCAGCCCACAATCCTTTATCAGATATGTAAAGCATTTTGATGTGGAAAAAAGCGTTCACTTGTTATATCCAAACTTTCAACCTGTGAACGAGTATGACACCACTTTTCATGTGTAATTTCTAGATCGCCAATGGCAAGTGCCATAACTACCACTTCAAGTATATCAGACGAAGAACGAAGATGGGCTGTGGTTGGCGTTTGTATTAACAAAGTTCTTACTCCTCAGTTAAGAAATATTCTTGCAACTGAGATACAGAACTGGTATCATTTGCTGTGTCGACCACCTGATGATATTGACAAGCAAGTTTTTCCCGCACATAAAAAGAAACTCCCTCCATCAACGTTTTCTCTAAAATACGAGAACATCAACCACAACAATGTCCACAAGTATCCCAAAGCTTATGACTTTAAAGTTAAAGATTCTTTGTCTTTGGCAAAGTTGTTTGTCCAACCATTCATGGCAAAATTTACCGCTTTTGACCAAACTATGGACATGTCTGCGGTTTTGGCAATTATGTGCGAAGCAGATCCATTTGTAACATCTGGCGCTGCAGTTGAAGCAAAGACAGTAAGGTCAAACATCAGAAATAAGTGGGCCCATTGTAACTTCTCGGATTGGACCAAACCAGCATTCATGGACGCCTTTCGAGACATGCACTCTCTAGTGAAGAAGATGAATCTACCACCAGCTGATGAACAAGCATTGTGTGATGATCTGGATAGCTGGAAGGACAAAGGTATCCGTTGAAGTATATATATTGTGTAATATGTTAAGTATCTTTTAATGATTGTTTGATATTCCTTTGTTCGAAAGAGCACTGGCTACTGGCAATAGCTGGCAAGTTTAGCACCATTTTCGTGAGACTCCAATTCAAAATACCGCGAATGTAAGAAGCCTGCATTTCTCAGGGACGCCCATGCACACATTGGTTTACAATTTCATTTCTGGAGTTAAGGTTGCCGTTATTTAACTTCAAATATTTTCAACACCGGTGGAAAAAAATTTGTCCTTGAATAGATCAAATAAAATATGTATATTGGGAACGTTATCAACCAAACTATCCAACCCAAAAAACGGTGACAATCTGGGATAAACTAGTCTATGATCTACGAAAAAAGGACATTTTATGATCCAATTAACCTTATTTTGACTCACACTATAGCTTTGGAGTTACTTCATTCGTTAACGGGCGGAAGCCAATAAATTGATTTATTCTGTTACTTTATCACTTTCAATATAGCTACCAAAGACAACAACGTTTATTAGCTTACGTTACGTCAGTTTTACTCATTTTTTATAAGGTATACAGTTTTGAAATTAATTTTAGGCTTGCAGTTGTGTTTTGGACAGCCTGTTGATCCTGCACTCCTGAAATTAGTTACAGAAGAGTTCGCAGAACTTCGTATGGCTGTTAAAACCTTGGATTTTGAAAGTGAATCACAGGTTAGAGGAATCTTCTTTCTTGGTCTGTAACAATTATTAGATAAATAGCAAGAAACGGCATGGGAAAACTGTCGATAAGCTAGACCGTATCATTGTTAAAAAATTAAATACCTCTATTAAATAATTAAAATAATTCTTTTCGTTCAAAGTTGAAACACAATCGTACCAATAATTTAACAGAGCTTTGCATGGATCACGATAAAGATACGACGATAATGAGGTTATACACTTGATCGATGGAAGTACTGTAGCGCTAAACCTTGAAAGGAAATCGTGAATTTAGGCTTAATTTGAAACCCTTTGGCCTTGCTATAATTCATCATTGTATAAGCACAAAGTTGTTGCCATTCGCATATTCTATTAAATGGAATTTCCGTGACCGAGAAAGTCAATGCCACTTCTCTGCATGAATGCATGAATGAGAGCTTAAAGTCGAGAATAATGCAAAGTGTGGTTTTATGGGATGTCTGGAGTACACAGTACAGTATATAGTACTGTAAGTGTTTTGTTTAGCTTTTTCCTCGTGAAAGCTACAGTAGCTAATATTCATATTGTTACAATACTTCTATATCTGCAGTTGAATACATTCCTTGAGAAACTTGGTAAGGTACAATCAAACTTTGACAACCAGTTACGTGAGCTGCTTGGCAGAATTGAAAGATGTGAAAAGCTTGGGGCGGAGAACACGAAGGAATTAAAACTTCTTGACAAAAAGTTCAATACCGAACTCACGAAATATCATAGCACGAAAGAAGAAAAGATTCCTTATATTTTCGACGCTCCAGACAGAAACCAATATTTCTCCGGACGAACTCAAGAACTTCAAGATCTTCAACATATTCTAAATCTTGACGATGCTGGGCTAGAAAAAAACGTTTGTGTAGCTGCAGTCTGTGGTTTGGGAGGTGTTGGCAAAACAAGTCTTGTCACTGAGTACGCTCACAGGAAGAAGAAGTATTATAAAGGCGGCGTTTACTGGTTCTCGGCAGAAGATGATACATTTTTTGAGAGGTCTGTCAATAACGCTGCTTTGAGACTTGGTGCCTTACTCGGGACTTTCGATTTAACGTTGACAAATACCCTCAGAAGAATTGGCAAAACAAGTAAACCATGTTTAATCGTCTTGGATTGCTTAGATCAGTTGGATCTCTCTCTCAATATATTAAAGTTTCTTTCCTTCGATTTAAGACAAAGTGTCTTAGCAGCTGTTGTTGTGATGACCAGAAGAAGTGAATGTAAACTTGTTGACGAGATTTCAAATGTCCATAAAGATCGTTGTCTTAGTTTGAAATGTCTAGAAGAAGAAGAGGCGAAGCAGTTTATATTTCGCAGGACTGGGTTGACTTGCGATAACAGCTACAGCACGAACAGTGTCGCCGAAAGTCTTGTTAATGAGCTGGGAGGATTGCCACTCGCTTTAGAACAAGCAGGAGCTTGTATTAAAGAACTTGGTTGCAACTTATCTGACTACCTTCAGCAATTTCAAACTGAACGCTTGAAACTGTTGGAAAGACAGAAAGCGAAGCGAGTATCAGTTTATGAAAAACCTGAACGCCTGGCGGTTCACACGACATGGTTGTTAAATATCAAACACATAAAAGAAAGCCCGCACGGTATGTCCGCCATCCTACTCATGAACGCTTTTGCATTTCTTAATCCAAGCGAGATCGATGAGGAATTAGTCAATGTTGGTGAACGTCCAATTGAAGACAAAGCATTTCGTGATTGTATGACTTCACCTCTCGGTTGTCGTCAAGTTGTTAAACTGCTGACTGATTTTTCACTTTTCACGTATGTCCATGCGCACTCTGTCAGTACCCATCGCCTAGTTCAAGAACTAGTCAGGGAAAATCTTAATCCTGAGGAAAAAGCTAAGAGTTTTGTTAATGTGGTACGCTTGCTTTCTTTCGCATTTTCTAAATGCACGTCAACTCCAAAACATCTACTGGGTAATGTTGGTATGGAAGAGCGCTTGAAAGCCTATGATTTGCCTAGAAACCATTCTCAATATTACTTGTGGTCTAAGCTTTGTTTTCATGTCTTCCAGCTCCAACGGAATATGGAGAAATTACTAGCAAATCCTGATCGAGAATGTTTAGATTCGCTTTTCGTTTTCGAAACAGCTAAACTTCTTTATGAATGCGTTGTTCACTTGAGTGCTAATCAAAAACAAGAAGACGCTAAACGCACACTAAATTTTGCGTACCGAATACTTGATTGGGTACCTGTTGATGAGTACGACACAATACAAAAAAGTCTTTCCAACAACTCACTGTTTCCTTCCCATGTTATTCCCTTGCCAAAGTGGCTTCAGATTGTGACAAAAAAATGTTGTGTACCTTCCATGAGTTATCTTGAACCTCTTGATGAAAAGCCCACGGTGGAGATCGTGGACTCTGAATCGCCTGGCTTAGAGCAAAATATTGAAAAGCTTAAATCAGAGGGAAATAAGAAGTTTAGCGAGGGTCTCTACAAAGAAGCAGTAGATGCTTATTCTGCTGCCATAGATATGAGTAGAGGTACAACTGTCTTCAACCCTTTATTGCTGACAAACCGTGCTTCAGCTTATATCAAGCTCAACCAGCCTGATGACGCTTTGAAAGATGCAAACGAATATATATCTCGATTCCCAGATTGTTGGAAGGGGTATGCTAGAAAGGCTTTGGCACTTGATGAGAAAGTCAGTGCTGAAATTGCTGCAGCATTAGCTTATTATTATTTTTACCTAAAAGATGATAGATGTATTTTTTCAGAATATAAGCCATTCATTGGAGCATTCCCAGGCCTAAAAGAGCGTATTTCCATATGTCATACTGTAGACCAGTTAATGGCGGCATTGCCTTCTTACAATACACGTCAAGACTGTCTGCGGGTTATAATTCTTGGATCGAAAGAGTATGTTATAAAGTTGAATACGCAAATTCCTTGGATGCTTGTTGGAAACTGTATTATGGTTGGTAGAAAAGCGGATGCCTCTGTTACTTTAAAACTCGAAGGTTACACAGGGCTGCAGTTATTTGAAAAATGTATGCTTGTAGATCTTTCTTTTGCCATTGATATAGGTCAAATCTCTGGTCATGATGGCTCTTTTGTTAAGATCCTTAACTGTAATTTTTCTTCCAGTAATGATGTTTCAGCAGCTGTTGTTTCTACCGGTGGGTTTAACGCCGAACGATGCAAATTTACAAACTGCAAAGCCGGTGGACTGCTGTGTGTGGGACCTGGTGATATGGTTGTTGATAACTGCACATTTGCTGGTAATCTTAAAGCTGGCCTAGAAGTGCGCGAAAATGGAATACTGACAGTGAGAAAGAGTCGCATGTATAACAACAGTATGGATGGTTTACTAATAGGACCCAATGCGGCAAAATGTGACGTATTTGATTGTCAAATTTTTCACAATGCTCGTGAAGGAATTGCGGCCCTGGATGCCTCGAAATGCATCACTCTCATGCGAAACCATGTTTATGGAAATGATGGAAGTGGTATATTCGTGAGGAATTCGGACGTCGATATGAGAGAGAATAAGTTTTTTGACAATGAAGGTTGGGGTATTTGGTCGCAGTCAAACTCTTGGTGTAACGTGTCGACGAATGAATCATTCCGTAATAAACGTGGAGGAGTTCGTGTTGGAAAACGATGGACTGGAAAGGAATTCCCTCTCTCAGTAGTCGAGTTGAACGAAGTCCATGATAATTTTGGCCCTGGAATAGTTGATACCATCAACAACTTCGAGCTTGATGTCCGTCCCTTTGGGAGCGGCAAAGACGTTTCGAAAAAAAGTGGTGATTACAAATCTGCAAAATATGATGGAAATGTTGAGTACAACAACGAAGAAAGAATTATCGGTAAAGAATCGAAATGTTCTTCGTCCTGGTGTTCAGGGTGCAAGGAAAAATGCGAGGATTTGAAACTGTGTGGGAAGTGCTTTACTACCGGCTATTGCAACAAGGATTGTCAAAAAGACCACTGGCCGAAACACAAGAAATTGTGCAAAGTTTTACGCGAGAAATCAAGCTTATTGGTCACTTCCACAGCGAGGCGTGGTTTTGACGGTAGCGTTAATGTTCACGCGAAAGGACTTGATGCAATTGGTCCAAAGTGTAGTCCTCCACCACCACGAAATGGTACAAGATTCATCGTTAAAGTGCAAACGAATTTTGAATCTATTATTTTTGGTAAGCTACACCCGCTTGTGATTTACGACCGCAGTCTTCATGTTGACGAGGAGTTTGAAGATGAATTTATTGACCGTCTTGTAAAAGAGTTTGGCGTTCTCGGTCAAAGAAAATATCAAGAGAAAAAGCTTTTTCTTCACTGCGTATTTGAAAAGAACGGAAAGCTACGACTGTTCATCAATGATTTCGCTGATTTTCAGAAATGGTGAACTTTTTAGTGCATGGTGTATCTGAACACTCGTGGAAAAAATGCATTTCCAATTGAATAGTTGATATAACATACAGTGAATGATTTCGGTTTTATTGATATTCATCATGCTGCGTGACTGTCCATGTCACAGAACATAGCAAGTTTTTAATTAGTAATATTTGATAGGACTGTTACTGTATAATTCTCAATAAATTATATTTTCTTGTTTCTGATTAGCCGGATTCTAATTGTAATAAATGTTGTAATTAATAATATAATAATAAATAGTTTAATAAAATGCTTTGCAGTTACATAACTGAATGTCTGAATTGCATGCTAAAACTAGCTATGACACTCAGCTTTTAGAAATATTACAAATATAAAATTATCTATTGAACAATATTAAATAAAATAGTAAAAAACCTACAATGACTAAGAAACATCAATAATATTTGCATGTCATAAACTGAGAGAACGTTGTGTATGTGCTCCTACTCTATTTAGTCCCTCGTGTCTTAAATTATAACTATGTTCACGTTTATTGTGAATGTTACGCCTCTCAACAAACATCTGGTAAGCATTTGATCGGCGACTTATACTAAAGTTTCAATACCGGACCGCGTCAAAGCATCTTCGTAAGTAAGAGAGGGAAAGATAATCCATATAACGCTCGTTTTTGAACAGACTCGATTAAATTTGTTAAATTTTGGGTTAAGTCCGACCACACAGGTGATTTAAACCAGCTTTCTTTAATCGTCTCAAAGCATAAAGACGGGAATTGGCTTTCTTGAGAATATCTTGCGAGATGATAACGCCTAATAACTTGTAACAGCAAATTAAACTCTTTCAACCGAGGTTCCAGAAATATATATCGAACCTATACACTGCAAGTCATATTGACATTGACCCAGTGGCGAAGCTGAGGGAATTCGACTAGTCATGCTCTAAGACCCGCACAGGCTAGGGGGGTCCGGGGGGATGCACCCCCGGGAAAATTTTGATTTTCGAAGTCTGGAATGGCCATTTCCTGCGATTTCAGGGTGAAATTCATGCAAAGAAAGCTACAAAAAAGTGTGATATAAAGAGGAAAATTCTTAATACTTTTTGTTTTTGAAATTTGTATTTCCACAAAATTTAATTTTATTTCACTATATATTTAAACTTATCTCCAAATGACGCTCAATATAGCCAATATTGGCAGAAGAAAGAGGATAATATTGTATGTGTACATTTTAATACCCTGCTGAGTGCTGTAATATGATCTTTCATTTGGAATTGCGTAAAGGTCGACTGTAATGTACAGTGTCTACAAGGACCTTGTAAATCTGAAGCAGAAACCTAATGTTGAAAGATACTTTGTTTAGATATTTGGTATATCTGTAAACCTCAAAATATATAAGCACTCGTGAATAAAGCAAATGAATTGGTAGTAAATATATTTATATCAATAGGAAAGGCCTTCACAAATCTTGTTTATATTCGCCATTATAATACAGTAGAATACACAATCGAGTCTGTTCACATGCATTTCGTGAGCTAAAATATCTTGTTAGAAGCCAGAAGGCCTTCCTACTATTCACTCGATTGACGTTGGTCAATTTCCATAGATACATAACCAAGATCACTTGAATAAATCTCGATAGAATTGCTGAATAATTTACGGCATTTAACTTGGTCGTGCTTTCGAAGATGAGCACGACCAGAAGATAAAAATCGGCGAGATACGCATGCGCGTGGAGCAATTTAGCCAATAGAATGCGTTGGAATTGATAATTTAGTCGTGCTGGCCTGACGAGAGCACGACTAACGGGCGGGTTACCCATTAGTCGTGCTATTAACCTGCGGTCGGGTGAAACTACGCAATCATACCTTGAATTGGTTTAAAATCATGGCAAAATCACCGGATTTGAAGGGATTTCGCACTTAATAGATGACGCAAGTGTACGACGAATCATTTTTAAAATTTTGGGGGAATTTTTTTTAAGACTAAAAAATTATTTTCTTTGAAAAAATTTTACTCGTGCTCAGCACGACTAGCACGACCTCTAGCTTCGCCACTGCATTGACCTTTATCAAGTATGAAGCGTTACTAGGGTCATAATTCAAATAGAGAAATTCTGTTGTGCGAACACTCAATATATGTATATGTTTCTTTTATTCGAATAACACAATTTGAATACGAATAACATAATTTGAAATCGAATAACATGCACTTTGACTTCAAACAAGACGCCTGCTCAGGCGTTCACACTGGCCTGAAAATGGCTGCTTTCGTGGTAGGGTGTAATATTTAGTGATAGGGATACAGGAGGTCTGGACTGGACCATATAAATACAACCAGAAAATACAATCATGATCAGCAACTATCAACCATAATATACCAAAACGCCGGCTCAGGCGTACCCTTCAGCTACAGGCAACTAAACCTGGCAAGCCAGGTCCACTGTTGATGGGCCAATAATAGCGAAGAAATTATATAGTCCTTGATTTTTAATGCCATGATATGGTTCGTTTCAGGTGCTAAAAAGTTCATAGACATAGACATAAAAATACGCCAATTTGCTTCCATTTATAAGATAAACTGATCCCAACCCCAAACCCTTCTCCCCAACCAGTAAACGTCTAATAAACAATTTGAGAATTAAAATGTAGGGGGAAAGTTGGATCTTAATTGTTCCAAAACGAAATCGAACCGTACCACGTTTCACTTTGCCGAACGCAACGCCACCTCGCAGAATACAATCGAAAACATACATTTTTATAGTAATATATATATATATATATATATATATATATATATATATATATATATATATATATATATATATATATATATATAATGGAAAGTAAGTTGGTGCAAATTAATGTAATTAGGTGCAAATCTATAATTATTCCGTAGGAAGAATCGCGATAACCGGCGTCTTCACCACGTAGCAAATTAATAATAGACTTTCTCTGTTGTGGTTTCAACTGAATTTCGAAGCCTGGAGTTCCTCGAAAGCATTAACATATTTTTTATGAGAATTATACGGCTATCTGCTATTCGATACGCGAGCAAAATTATTGTTGACATTTGAGTTACGTAATTACTTCCGTTAACGAGATTGACCAATGGGAAGCTATTCCGAAGTTTCTTCGGTCAAAAACACATTTGTCATAGGCATTTTGGCAGGCATTTATTTAACGACGCCCTCTCTTCTCCAGCCCGCACTAAACGCCTGCTACGCAGGCTAAACCAACGCTTGAGTTGTTGACTTCTTGGACAAAGAGAACTGTTTCGGATCCACTTTATATATAAAACTTCTAGCAATAACGATTCCAAAGTAAATCCTTCCATTATTTTAGCAACTTGCGCAGTGAGGGAGAAAGCACGTAGCCTTCTTCAATGGAATTTGGGGAAGATACTTTCGGAATAGGCACAACAAAGGAACGCTTCAATTTTTCCGGAAAGGTTCCCTGAAGTATTGAGGAATTGTATATATCAGACAATACAGGCGCAAGTTGGTGAGACCAAATAAGAAGTCGTTTTAAGACTCAGCAAGGTCCACACAATTAGGGTTATCGTCCGACAGCAGCTGATGGTACCAAGACTGTTGAGGTGATAAACCACTAAGGGATTTGATTGCTTTCCACCACGTTGCTGGGTTTGTATTCTTTCACTTCTTGACCGACTGGTGGTAAAACCTTTTACGAGCAGTTTTAACTTCTTGCTGTACTTTATTTCGCCAATATTTATAAATCTGCGAAGATTACTCATTTCCGTGCACAGTGTTTCTCGCGAAAACCGGACTGCTGTCCGGTTTTGATCTGCTGATCGAAGCAAGTAAAAGCTACTGGCTTGCATGGTGGTTCTATTATGAATGATTTCTGATTCTGATCCGGAGTTTTACAAATGTGTGAGCGAGAAATTAGGTATAAGGGCAGTAAAAAGACAAAATACTAGCAACATTTTGTTACTTGTTTACCTCTGTGAAACCAAGATTATCGTTGATCCAGATACCGGCGCTGATGTCGATCTAATCTCAGTTAAAGATTTCAAGAAAATTCATGAAGCAAATCCAGAGATCAAGAAACAAATAAAGAAACCAAAACAGAAGATCTACGCCCTGAATGGTGAAGAGCTCCAAGTCATAGCTACAATTAAAGATGCAAAGTTGTCAAACAATTAAGAACGCAAAAATACTCACTGATCTCTACGTTATTGAGGACGGTATTCATAAATTCCCATTATTATCAGAACGAACACTGATGAATCTTGTTATGATTAAATACAGCGCTGAGGGAGAGTTTATGAAGAAAGTTGACGCGAGACAGCGATGACAAAGAAAGAAAGTGTAAATCTGAAGATAAAGTACCACAAGAAGAGCTCAGAAAGATCTTGCAGAAACATAAGAAGATGTTCCAAGGCATAGGGACATTAAATAATCCTGAAACAGGAGAGCCAATACTCACTCATATCGAGATGAATGCCGATGCAAAACCAGTCATACAACCCCCAAGACCTGTACCACACCATCTTGAAGAAAGAACCAAGAAGAAATTGGATTACTTCGTTCAAGAAGGGATAATGACTTGGACTAAACCAGGAAAACTGATTTCATATGCCAGTCCACTTGTCTTCACACCAAAAGGAGATGATGTTCGCATCACTGAAGACTTCCGAGTAGCAAACAAAGGAGCATCGAGAACCCGTCTCGTACCTGGTCTACGAGTAGATGACGAGGACTACGAGAAATATCTAGTAGTGACCACGCCCTGGAGAAATTTGAAGCATGAAACGCTTGCAAAGGGATGGATAACCAGCCAAGATGAATTCGACAGACGAATAAATGAGATTCTAGCGGGAATTCCTTACGTAAAGAGTAATCGAGACGACTGTCTAATTGGTGGGAAAGATCAAAACGAGCACAACAGAACACTCGACCTAGTCCTAACACGTCTGCAAGACCATGGATTAACATTGAGATTGGAGAAGTGTGAATTTGGAAAGGAGGAAGTCGAGTTCTATGGTGTCAGATTTACGGGAGAAGGAATCACACCATCGAAGGCGAAAGTGAAAGCGCTGCAAGAATGTGGAGAACTCAGTTCAAAGGAAGGAGTAAGAAGCTTTTTACAGATGGTGGGATATATGTCTCGATTTATCACCAGCTTTGCCCAGATTGCCGCACTGCTGCGAGAGTTAACGAAGTCGACCTTAACCTTCCAGTGGGGACCAATAGAACAGGAAGCTTTCGATAGCTTGAAGAGCAGTTTGACCATATGGTTTGACGGAGCAAACAACCCTTTCCTACTTTGTTCCTGAAAGACCGATAAGAATCTACGTTGATACAGGAAAGAAAACAGAGAAATCGAGCAACGTTCCTGGAGGATTATGTGCCATTTTATGCCAACAAGGTGACGACGAACAGTGCAAAATGTCTCACGTAGCCAACCGTGCCCTAACTGACGTTGAGCATACATGTCCAATATCACGATGGGCCACGGATCGTGAATATAGTAGCGACCTTAAGCAAACAGGACGGCAACGCGACGACGACGGCTATTCACACAATGATATTCCTGATCTCGTACAAAAGAAATGAATAATTAAAAGCCCCACGGGAGTTACAGACGTTGTGTTAGTGCTTTTTACAACGGCAAACCAGAGATTTTCACGTCTTGTGTACAACGCAAACATGTCAAGAAGCGACAAGTAAAACTACAAATTTGCTCAGCAGAAGCGTTTTTAACAATAAAGCCTTCGTTTTCATCTCTTCAAACTGAATTCAATTCATATACAGTGGATAATAAATAACAACCCTTCTTCGCAATAATTTATTTGAAGTTTGTTTTGATTGTTGTCGTGGCGTTGCCGTCGTACATGCTTAAGGTCCCTAATTCACGATCCGTAACACATGGTGAAAGTGTGAAACAATCACGAAGCAACACAGATCGTGAATATACTTCACGATCCGTAACACATGGTCAAACAATCACTATATGACACAGATCGTAAATGTACCTCACGATCCGTAACACATGGTAAAAATCCTCAAGCTGTGCGTGTTTACCTCCAACAGTGCAACAAACACGAATCATGCAATTGATGCCCTGACCACTAAATCCGTACGATCCGTGCACATCGTGCGTATGGTGAAAATAAACAAATATTTTCATTCTTATTACCTCACCTACGTTTACATTTTCATTTATCAATGTGTTTTGTTATTACAATACCTCATATATGTTTACATCTTCATATATGAATGTGTATGCTTCGTTCTCTTATTACTTTAATAGCAGTCAATGAAGGATTTTGATATATTAAGAATTTAAAATGTATAATTTACATGACTCATGAGGTAATAATATTACCTGTCATGTATATTAAACATTTTAAATTCTTAATATATCAATCTTTCATTGACTGTTATTACTTATTATCTCATGAATCATGTATATTATACATTTTAAATTCTTAACATATCAATGCATGTGTATGCCTCTTTCATTCTTATTACTGCACATACGTTACTTTACATTTCCACATATCAATGTGTTTTGTTATTATAGGCCTAATAGCTCATATGTATATATATATAAAGCAGTGGTTAAATCTGTCTTCCTCGTCATATACAGCCTTTACAGAAGTAGCTAAAAAATCATTCGAATATATCAGCGACTCTGAAAATTTAAACATAAACGATATTGCACAAATATGTTCTTATCATCCCGCGTGTTATCGTAATTTTACAGATATATAACTAAAATCGAAAGAGCTACAAAGACATTGACTAAAAATGCAAGTAAAAAGCGATCGGCTGAATCCAGTACGGAAACTGGCGAAACTGAATCCGACGATCCTAAACCGAAAAAGGTTCCCCGAAATACTCGTCAATCATTTGAAAAACTATCTGGTCAATTGTCACGGTCGCCATATGCATGTCTTACCCGAAATTTGTTTAATTTGTAAACGTAACGGCCCGATATATTTCTTCGACAAGGTAACGTGTAAATCAGTTTCATCTTTTTCTATTTAATCGATAGGCACTTTGAAAAATTGTAAAAGTTGTACTAACTACTCTACATTCTACAAAATGCTAAATATCAAGTAAAACGAATTAAAATATCAATATTTCTCTATGCAGACAGAAAAGAAACTGGTTAAACAAGAATTATCAACGGCACAAACACTGACAGCTGGAAATTTAGAACAGGCAGCAATATTGAGAAACGACGAAAGCGTACTTGTACACATCCGTGGAAAAGACTGTGGCAGTGGAGACACGATATCACAAGCGATGTTATCAGGCTCATACGAAATGTCTTACGAGAAATACTAAAAACATGCATCGTCAACATAGGTCCAACGTTGTATGACAATGCATTTGACAAATTTTGCATTCAATTTATTGAAAAGAGAATCATCAAAAACAACGAAATCCTGCTACTTGGCTACTTGTTAAAGAAATTCATCAGCTGTGTTCATACGATAGAAATGGTAGATGTACCCTACCAAGCTGCAAGACTTCGGAAAAGAATTCAAAAGCGATATCCACAAATTGTATTCCATAGTTCAAAGACCATGAATAAAGGGACTCTTGTCTACGTCGATAGTATGTCGGCAGGTGATGTTGTTGATGACTTAATTGAAATCCATACTGAATCCGATACTGAAGATGAAGATATTGATGAAGGCGATGATGAATTGAATGATGATAGCGAGTGTAGTAAAGAAGAACGGATCAACAGTAATAAACGAACTCTAACTGGAAATCGGACTCTTCGCTTCAGCAATTGTTTCATGCCGCCTTGGAGGTTAGAAATCTCATAAATGAAAGTAAAGGCGTTCATTCCGGCTGGCCTCCCGATTCTCACGATCTGATTTTGGCACTAGCAACTAAATCGATTCCCGTAAAGCTTTAAAAATTTCTGGCATGGTGTCTCGGATTTTCCTGTGAACCGATTCAGCATGAAATGGTGGAAATCCGCCCAAGTGAAAAAACGAAAGTGGTATCAATCGCACAAGACATGATATATGCAGAGTCAAGTGGAAAAAAGCAAACTCACAAGTCACTAGCCCTGGGGATGACTGGCTCAATCAGGTTACTGAGGATCCTGCATGGTTTGGGACATACTGCATCAACAGATACTCATGTCTACCGACATGATACTGCATTAGCTCTAGCCAGCACCAATGGTCAAGAAATCGTCATTCCAAGGAATATGAATCCAGAGTCGTTCACGACAAATGTTTGGGATAATAATGATTTTAGCGAAGAGACTGTGTCTGGGAAAGGGACAACACACGTAGCGAACCGGATTATTATACAGAATGAAGACGTCAGATTAAGAGAAAAAACCACCGTGAGTAAGAAGCATCGCACAGTGAAGGCACCCGAAATCAACATTGCTCCCTACACAAGCAAAGAGAGAGGAACCATATCTCTCCAAGACCAAAGTTCTGACATTCCTCTCGAAGAGCAAAGCTATCGTCATGAGCAAAATATGGCCAGAAATGCTGATTTCGTGTACATGTTGTCCAGAAAGTGCGCTTCAGAAAGTGGGGACTGTTTGCCAGGATGGACAGGATTCAACACCCAAGTTCATAAAGAGATAAGACGTACTTCAAACATCGGTTATTTGCCAGTCATCGACGCCCCAGTTACCGACATGGCAACAGTCAACGAAATATTGCGACATAGCGTTTCCATTTGCCAACGTCTCCAACTCCCAGAAATTGTTCTAGTCTTCGATGAAGCAATTTACTCCAAAGCGCAGATGATAAGATGGAAGGATTAGATTAGACTCTTTGATTTTGCACACAGTAATGTCGTTTTGCACTGCCGTAGCGAAAATTTTTAAAGACGCAGGACTGCAAGTGAGTATTCAATTTCCTGTTTCTATATGTTTGTTCTTTCGTCCGTCTGTCCATCCATCCATCTGTCTGTCCGTTCGTTTGTCGACCCTGGTCCCATCTCTCTGTTTGATCGGAGTTGTTTTATATTTCTTGTTTAGGACATTATGATCGAATCAGAGATTGTTGCACCAGGATCGTTGAAAGGTGTATTATCTGGAAAGCACTACAACTGCTGCGTAAGAGCTCATAAAATGATGTATGAGGTAATGGAAAGGTTGCGCTTCCAAGCCTTCGAGAAAACTTTGTCAACATTGGAAAAAGGTGATATCCACGCGATCGATATCAATGTGCAAGAAGACAAAGAGAGACGAAAGTTTATGGAAATCTGCGCCAGCGACAAAGTCACCGATATGAAAATGTTGTACGACCTGTTTATCGAAAAACAATGTGAAGAAAATCCCTTATTTGCATTCTGGTCCAAGTACATCGAGATGGTACAGCTACTTCTACTTTATATTAGAGCGACAAGAACATCGGACTGGACACTACACCTCAGTTCATTACGTTCCATGATTCCCTGTTTTTTTGCAACAGATCGCGTAAATTATTCCCGCTATGCACCGTGTTATTGGCTTGAGATGATGTGCCTCGATGAAACACACCCCTGTAAGTGTACCGGCAATCCCTTTATTCATTCCCGCTCCTTTAAGTTGTTGCTACAACTATACTAGCTATTACATTGGACTCCAATGCCTTCGCTTTTACAGCGTGTCGAAGAACGAACCTTCTAATGTATTCAATAATGCTAAATTTCCCATAAGGGAATGTTCGACACGTATTTTTCTTTTTTATATGCTCGTTACTAAAGTTGTGGCTGCAAGCATTACACAGAACTGGACCGTACAAAGGCAAGATGAATATGGATTCTCAAGTGTGGCATGTGGTTAAACAATTGAACAGACAGTAAATAGATGAGAAGTGCTATAAATATCTTATATATACAATATATTAGTATGTGCGCTAAATGGGTATTTATATGTGTATTATTTTTTGTAGAGATTCAAAAATGAAAGGGGGAATGGTGGGGATGACGCTGAACAAAGGAGCTGCCCACCGTTGGTTAATGGGGCGAGTGGAGGGGAGTGCTATTACCAAACAGTGTGAAGCCATGGCAAACGTAACTGAAGTTACAAGGTAATTCAATTGTACATTATTAGTATTTATCTCTCTTTTAAAAGTTTCAACGAATGCGAGATTTTCACAAAACGTTAATCTATCATTTAGGTTAAGAAAGAATTTGGACAAAACGCGGATAGAAGCAGACGAGAAAGCAGTAGAGGATGTCACCAAAACAATAAAATCAATGATCAATCCTTTTGCGAATGAGCATGATGAACTGGTGCATTTGGCAAGCGGAACTATTGCCCCTCTTCAAGTTGCGGAAGACATGAAAACTATGTTGCAGAAAGGTGAAACTGCTGCAGTTGAATTCATGAAGACGCACATCATTAGTGATCTGAACCAAACATATACCCAACGTTAAAGAAAACAAAGTTGCAAACATATTCCGTTGTTGGTAAGAAGGTCACGAGCAAAAGCAAGAAAGGAGAACTTGTGGCTATGAAGAACTCCAAAACTCTATTCGCTAAAATGCTTCTAATTGCAAAAAGTAGAGAATTGCAGATGGAGGAAGTATTGAAGTATTCTCTCCGCCCATTCCCTAGTTCATTGGCAACAAGTGAAGGAGACCTTGTTAAAACTGCCAAATCAAAATTACTCCACAAGATTGAAGAAGACGTTCCGCCGGTTCCGGGTGCTTGTGTCGACCTCCCGGCTGTTGAAAATAAGGCATGCATTCTTGATGCAATGGCGGTATTGCAAACGTTGATTGTCATTCAAGCAACATTTGGCAAACTTGCAACCAATTTACTTACGAAGGTCGTCAACGCTGCAATTTTTTCCAAATGCAAACGGGTGGATTTCGTCGGCGACCGATATCCACGTCAAAGTATTAAGAATCGGGAGAGGGTCAGACGAGCCATGAGCGGTGTCCAGGTGATACGCATATTTAGTGAGCAGCAAAACGTTCCTCGTCAGTGGAAGAAATTTATGTCTTCAGGTGATAACAAAGAAGAATTGATGAAATTTATTTTTAGTACCTGGAGGAAGGCAGATCCGCAATTATTGAAGGGCGTAGAGGTATTTTTAGCACACGAAGAAATTTGTCACAGATTTTTTTATTCAAATGGGGAGATGATGTGCTCTGAAATCGGAGAACTTTACTGTGACCACGAAGAGGCGGACACAATGCATACTTCTCTGGAATATCGCACCATCATAATCAAGAGTCCGGATACAGACGTGCTTTTGATCGCACTTAACGCTTGCGTAGGCACTGATGCTGATATCATGTTTGAAACTGGTGTAGGAACCGGAGGACGGAATATTTCCGTCACCAAGATTAGGCATTGTCTTGGAGATCAATGGTGTTGCTCGCTAATCGATCTACATGCAATTACGGATTTGTTGTTCTGCAGTATTTAAAGCATAGGCTTGTTCATTAGTAATTAAACGAAACATAAGCCGAATATTAACATCCTCAAATTCATGATATGAGTTAAAACAAGACAAGAATGAGATGTTAATATCCGTATTATGTTTCGATTTATTGAAATTGTCTGCTGGTATTGGTTTAGAGCACTTATTTTTTTACAGGTTCTGATACCACGAGCGCTTTCTATGGCAAAGGCAAAGTAACGGCACTGAAAATCGCGAAAAAGAAGGAGGAATACGCAAATCTTTTTGGAGTCATGGGTAGAGAAATTGCACCATCGGCTGAACTAAAAAGTGGATTGTATAGTTTCATGTCACCTATATGGTTTCGAAGAGTGTTCCGACGGCAATGCTGTTCGATATCAAGCGTTTTGAAAGTGGAAAATATGATGAGGAACTTTTGCCACCGAACCAGGATTCACTTGATCAGCATATCAGTCGAGCAAACTATCAATGTTACATGTATATCTGGAGTCATGCAGTGCAACCTGTCTTGAACCCGCCGTCATTCTGTGAGTACGGTTGGGAAGTAGATGATGTTGGAAACGTTTTGGTCAAGTGGATGACTATTGCCCCTGCTCCCGAATCACTCCTCGAATTTGTTAATTGCAAATGTCAAAAAGGCTGTGAAACCAAAAGATGCTCGTGTGTAAAAGCAGAACTGCATGAAGTGCTCAGATCTATGTAAATGCGTTGGTTGCAAGAACAACAATGGAAACAAGGAAGACATTGATTGTGATTCTGACACTTATGATTCGCAAGATGATTTCAGCTCAAGTGAAAATAGTGACAATGAATACTAGACCTTCCTGGAAATGCATTTTTCGTACGTAGAACAGATGTGCTAACGCACTCATAACATGCGACAAGCACGCGTTTCGGACCACTACTCCACTAGTTGAAATGCGAATTATTCTGGTTCATTTCCTTCCAACAAACTGTTGGGAACCCCCTTAATGACTATTCTATCTCACTTATTTCCTATATCGCATCATTCAAAATGACAATTATGGCGCGAATCGGGGGATTGGGACAGAATAAACGTTCTTTCGAGTGATGGGATGTATCGAGGACGACATTCAAAATGGCGGAAGCCTGTCAAAACTTTGTTGAAGTATTGGAAATATACATGGATTTTGCAAAAATACTGCGGGTTTACGGCGCGGGATGTCTTTGGATTTGGATTCACATGTTCGAAAGTGGTAAGTTATGTAAAAATATTTCAGTTCCACGACATGCTTAATGAAAATCGTTTTCTAGGCACATTTTTCTGCCACAGCAAACGGCCTATGAAATTCATCTCCAATTTCACTCGATTGGCATAAGGTACAAAACCGATCTTCGTATGGTGTTTTGGTATATCTGCCAGATTCAACCGGTAGTTTGTGCGCAGATATTCTCATTTTTAGTGTGAAGTTTCACTTCACACTATTGTGATGGCTCGCGAATTCACACGAATCAGTCAAACAGTCAGTCAGCTGTCAGTCATAGAGTAAACTTTCCGGGGGGTGTATAAGATTTATGTTCGTAGTGATTTATTGTACTTAGTCAGTACTTTGAAGGTTATTTAGGCAATTTCAGTTAACTTATTTACGCAATTTATTTAGGCAATTTCAGTTAACTTATTTACATATTCTGTTATCCTTTTGCCAAGTTCACAAAAATTTCGAGGAATCGCTTTCGTTATTGTATTTTTTTTGTAAATTTTAGAACATTCGCTTCTCATGTTGTGTAAAGGATCTTTACCCCGGAACACCCGATTTTTCTTTAGTAGCGCAAATGCGCATGCGCTATCAAGCCGTAGATCACGATGGCGTGACGATATGCTAGGAAGAACACCGCGGAAAAACGTCACCAAATTATGAAAATATGGCGAGGAATTTGAATATCAATTTCTAAAACAAAAACATGCTTATTAATTGGTCAAAAATTAGTAAAACAAACGAGAAAATATAGCAAATGGGTAGACTAGACATTAATTGAAAGTGTCCTGGCATTTAAAGTATGGAATGAAATATAATTCATGTAAAAAATTGTTGATTTTAACGGACACGACTTCGAAAATTTTTGCAGAATTATTCAAAACAAAAATTCAAACTAAAAAGTTAAGAAAACTCTCGAAAAGTTAAGCTTCTTAACCCACTCAAATTGTAGAATAAATCCTAAAGTTTAATTATTGTGAACACGAAAATTTTTTATATTTGGCGACACAGTTTTTTTTAAAGAAATGTATCTCAAACGAAAATTCGGAAATTGTCGTTGCTTGGTTGATAAACAAAATGTTTCAGACGATAAATTTGTCAACAATCACCTTTAGTTCATGTTCTTGTACAATGCAATTTCTTGAACCTTCTGGCTGTATTTATTCCTAGTTTTTAGAATGACATGTTTATTTTTGCACTCGAAATCTGGCTGTAAAGACGCACAATGAAGTCACTCCTTTTTACCGCCATTTTGAGCCTTCGGAAACGTTCGGAACAGCTTTTCATCAAGTTCGCAATACTATTACAGGTAAGGTTGACGCATGCGCAGACGTTTTTCCGCGGTGTTGCTAGGTGTTGCGCATGCGCCAGATTTGTTGCGCATGCGCCAGATTCCCATTGAAACTTGAAGATTTCCCGAAGAAATATTACGAGATGTTCGTGGTTGTATATTTTTGAAAGCCTGTTTAATCTTTATACTTTTTTTGCTTGAGACAAAGTAAAATGTACTCTACGTTTCCAGTGTAAAGAATATCTCGTTTGAACAGCAATAGAATATTATAATCTTGACACAAACAAGAAGACATTTGACACGCTAAATCTGTAGTCATGCCTGACTGAGGTATAAAAGCCAATCGTCGCGAGCTTGACAGCCTTGTCAAACGCAAAACAAGTACAAATTTGGGTTCAAACAGAAAGAAGTTCAATGTTAATACAACTAACATATATTCTATACAAATACGGGTGGTTTAAAATGTTTTCAATTTAATTTTCAAAGCTTCTATCTATCGCTATGATAATCAAACTGTGAACTTGATGCCGCAGTTTCGTTGACGCTTGCGAATGCAAAATAACTTCCCGTAAACAGAGCATTTCTACACAAAACTCTCGCTTAGTCTTCTGATGCACTTGTACGTTCGGTTCTACTAGTTAAACAAGGAAAATATTCAAGAAATCAAGAAACACTGGTAAGTTGTCGTTGTCAAAAAACATTTCAGTGCTGAGGCAGTACAAGGTCTCAAGGGCAAGGTCAAGTTGTCGATTTCATTACATTTTACAGTACTTCGGAATGTTTTTGAACTCTTGCTTCATACAAGGGGTAGGGATAAAACGCTGAAACTGAATCGCGGAAACGGAAACTGAAAGCGGAAACTGAAATGGGAGTAAGACGCTGAAATGGGGGTAAAACGCTGAAATGGGGGTAAAACGCTGAAATGGGGGTAAAACGCTGAAATGGGGGTAAAACGCTGAAATGGGGGCAAAACGCTGAAATGGGGATAAAACGCTGAAATGGGGGTAAAACGCTGAAATGGGGGTAAAACGCTGAAATGGGGATAAAACGCTGAAATGGGGATAAAACGCTGAAATGGGGAAATTTAATCGAATTCGTTGTTTGCTAGACCATTGCGAACGGCAATTGCTAGATAGTATACTTCAAAATAAGGTTTCCGTTTTTATATCAATTTTTAAAATAAGTTGGGGTTAGGTTAGGGTTTAGGTTAGGGTTTAGGTTAGGGTTAGGTTAGGGTTACTGGGTAAGGGTTAGTATTAGGGTTAGGGTTTAGTTTTATGTTAGGATAGTTTTTTCTACGTTATAAAAACGCAAACCTTATTTTGAAGTATACTATCTAGCGATCACCCATTGCGAACACATGTAATTTGCCTATAAAACTGCGGAATAAATATAAGAAAGAAGTTCCATGACAAAATGACAACCACAAATTTTCGAAGAACGTCTGCTGCACTATTTTTAAAGTCGTTTGAATTAAATTTGACTACTATACCTCGCGGTAAAGATAGACAAATTATAAACCTGCGTTTTTTGAATAAACTGAATACTGCAGTGAGACAATATAATTATATAATGCATGTTTATTATATAATATACGGTGTTTTGTTGGCGAATCCGCCATTATGCATGATAATCATGTATGTGCGATTATCGTGTTTTGACTCACCAATCAAAAATCAGGATTAAGAGCCGTGGCGGGTAAAAGAGGTTCGTAGGTATATAAAATAAACACAAAAATACATGAATGCTTGCAAATCAATGGCCATTTATCTCTTGTGTCGAGAAGATATCTTTCTCGTTTGCTGCGCTCACTCGTTCAATATCTTTCTCAACACTGGAAATAAATTTCATTTATTTTTTTGCGGTCCGTGCGGTCCATGCTTTTTTGCGGATCAAATTGCTTCGTTTCCGGTCAAATTGCTTCGTTTCCGATCCGGTTTTTCACGATACGGACCGCTCAACCGGACCGCTGCGGATTTTAGAATTAAAGTAAACAAAAAATTAAACTTTCTGCTGTGTGAAATTAAGAAGCAAAAATATGTATAGCGATGACGAGAGCCACAGGGAAATAACGAAATTTGGAATGAAGGCGAGTTTTGTAACTTCGAAAACGATGAAGAAAAGAACGGTGCCGTGAATGAAAACAAACTGTATAAAGATGATATTCAGCGTTTTATTGAAGCTCAACTGCCCTGAAAACACTACAAAAAACCCAATTACGACCTAAGTTTTACTCCCATTTCAGCGTTTTACCCCCATTTCAGTGTTTTATCCCCATTTCAGCGTTTTACCCCCATTTCAGCGTTTTACCCCCATTTCAGCGTTTTACCCCCATTTCAGCGTTTTACCCCCATTTCAGCGTTTTACCCCCATTTCAGCGTTTTACCCCCATTTCAGCGTTTTACCCCCATTTCAGCGTTTATCCCTACCCTTCATACAAGAGCAGTAAACGCACGCATTTCAAAGCGAAATTAGACGCAAAGGGGCAATTTTTCAACAAAATTCATTGTTAAATTATGTTTCCTATGTGCCTTGGGAGCAAAAAAATATGATTTTAAATTTGGAGGAATCGGTAATTTTTTTGCAATTTGGCCTGGTATTGCACCCTACCTATGTAATGACTGTGTGCTGTAAAAGTAATCAAATATACTATTTTGAATTTCCCTTCATTGAAAGGATCTACTATTGTGGACTAAACTACATTTTAATTAGCATACAAGACTGCAAACAACAGCCAAGAATTAGCTGGGTAGTTTGCAAACTTTAAAAATAATTGGACCTCAAACTTTGATCCCCCAAAGTAAACAAATGGCCAATACTGCGAACATAATCCAAGTTTTGACCACTAGGGGCAATTTTTAGACGTAAAAAAACTTGTTTAAATTACATATCAAACAAAGGCAAAACAAAATTTGGTATTAATTTTTTGGAGGAAACGTCAAGGTTTTTTGCTACCGCGCACGCTTCTACACCCCCTCCCCCAGGACCTTCTCTATCAGAAAACAGTTTTCTGCAGAAACTATGCTTTTTTATCGGGAAAATTTTTACTTTTCTCACAAAAATACTTTAGAAACACGGAAACCTTAAATATTTAAATAATTTTCATACCTTTTTGGGATTGCAAATAGCAAAATTTGATTCATTATCACACTTTTAAAATATAGGTGACAAAGTTGCTTCGAAATCACTATCACGCAGTAGCATGTTTATTTACCCTCATCCTTTTGACTGAATAAAGTTTATCTTTTTGAAAAGCTATTTGTTTTATAGCTCTTGGTTAGCAGTTTACGTTTATGTCGATTTTGCCATCCATGAGGCCAACAAGTTATGGTAATCCGCGAATGAAAACTGATATTCGAAGAGCACAAAAGCCAACTCCTAGCTATGTAACTTTATCGCCTGAATTTTGAATCAATCCACAATTAAATTTCTGGTAAGTAGATGCTTTCCATACTAGAGATGTTAGTGAAGTTTTTCCAACAATTTAATTTCCTTGATCGCCGTCTTAAAAATGCAAAATCATCAGTTGAAATTTCACTCGTGTTGTTTTTTCAAATTTTCGAATTTTTGTAAAATATCGCGTGCGCCAGCAATTTCTCTGCACAGCGACAACAAATTTCCCAGCTATTGTGACAGTGTTGTTTTCAGATGTATAAAGATTTCAGACGTGAATATTGAGTAAATCTTTGAAAATCTACGCAATATATAAATTGATCTTATGCATTACGGGCGTTCAATTAAGTGCCGATAATATTTAGACGGTATATTCATTATACAGAGCTAGGAAGGAGCTAGACCGCCTAGACAGTGCAGTCAAGTGTGTAAACATTTCAGACGTAAATATTGAGTCGAATATCTTGATTCTAGACATTCATTTAAGTGCCGATATTATTTTCACGGTATTCTCATTATACAGAGGTACAGTACGTAGGCAGAAGCGAGACAGTGTTGTTTTCAAGTATATAAAGATTTCAGACGTGAATATTGAGTAAATCTTTGAAAATCTACACAATATATAAATTGATCTTATGCATTACGGGCGTTCAATTTAATAAGTGCCGATAATATTTAGACGGTAGATTAATGATACAGAGCTAGGAAGGAGCTAGACCGCCTAGACAGTGCAGTTAAGTGTATAATTCAGACGTAAATATTGAGTCGAAAATCTTGCTTCTAGGCATTCAATTGAGTGCCGATATGATTTTTTAGTCACGGCATGCTCATTATACAGAGGTACAGTACGTGCAGGCAGAAGCGAGACAGTGTTGTTTTCAAGTATATAAACATTTCAGACATGAATATTGAGAAAATCTTTGAGATTCTACGCAATAACAGTAATACAATATATAAATTGATGTTATGCATTAATTAATACCGTCGATATTATTTAGACGGTGTATTCATTATACATTCTCATTGACTGTATAAGGTGCTACATCACAGAATAGATGGCTATACTCGAGGCTATACTCAGTACAAAGAGCGAAAAATTGCATCAGATTTGTATCAGATCAATAAAGCATAAACAACTATTAAACAGAAGCGGGTAAACGTTTGTACGGCGTTTACGAAGAAAAAAACTTAAGAGACTAAAGGAATCAGTTCAGTCAGAGCTCCTCAGTTGTATAAATAAGAAAGACGAGGATACAGCCAACGTGTTTAGGTGTTATCGCCAACGTGTTATCGCTAATCGCTTAATTGGCTCGCCAACAAGCTTTATGCAATAGAAGAAAAAAGCATGCAAGGAGGTACATATAGCCAACGTGTACATTCACGGACCTTGTCCTTGTCTTTGTTTACTGTCTAGTGTCTAGCACAACGCCGTTGTCAACGGTGCAAACTCGTATTCAGTGCAACGTAACTCTATACCAGATCTTGCGAGAATCAATCTGTAGTATTCTGTACACAGAACTGTATCAAAGCTTGTCAAAAATGTTTTTAAACACTGCTATAACTGTGAAACTATTGAAATCTAAAGTGATATTTATATTCAACACATGCGAAAAGCTGAAAATAGACATACGTCACACTGGGAAAAGTCAAAGGTCAATGAAACTTGTTATTGTGAAACATATCACAATTAAGTTAAAATGCGGAAGCGGATGGAGCGGATCCACGGAACGGATATGCGGATAAAATACGGAACGGATGAGGATAAAATGCGTCTTTTAATGATGTAATGACGTAGTGCTTATTATTCATAACATATCTTATACAGCTATTTCAATTATAGTTTATTAGATAAATTTAGCATAGCAGTAGCCTCGTGGGGATGCTTTCAGCGACAGCTGCAAATGCAAATGAAAATTTAGAATATGCAAAATTTGGTTGTTGGTGACACAATAAATAGATGAATTGCATCAGTTTCACAAGGCACGTTTCTGATGCGTATTAAAAGCAATAAATAATGAGATGAAATGCCTTTGGTAACTGTTTATTTCGTAGTGTAAGCCATCAAGCTTTTCTAGGTTGTCGGCGACCCTATATAGTTCTTGCAGTGCCTTTTTAAATTTGAAACTTCACACTATCCTTGGATCTCTAGTTGTTATTGCTTGGCGATGTTTAACATTGCATATTTCATGAAGGTATTCCTCAAATACAAAATTATTCTTAACTTGTACTAGAGTTCTTAATTTACCACTATGACGACTTTGTTCAATCTGATCTTCCCAAAAATGAGTAAAGTAAGTAGATCTATTTTTTAGATATGTACCTACATTATGTAAACTTTCAAGTGGGAGAGAAATACCATTTAGTGAACCCAGATCACATAGTTTTAATATATAGTGGAACTTACGCTCTGGTCGGATATGATCTTTACAGCTGTTATCCTGTTGTAAGCAACTGCAGATCTACAGCGTTCTTGTGTGTGAAACTGATCCTTGATTCGTGGTTTTCAACATTTGGTACAGTGAAGGGGCTGAAATCAGATCGAGGACCTCCATTTAAAATTAACGGACATGAATTCAGTGCATATGCTCGCGAGAGGGGATTCATTCACAAACCGGTGAAACCCAGACATCCGAGGAAACGGTGAAGCTGAGAAATTTATGCAGAACGTGAAGAAGATGGAAAGAATTGCGAAACAAGAAAGGAAAAAAATATCGCTGTCTCATTGAAGGAATGTTAAATGCTTACCGTGCCGCACCGCAGCCCCTGCTACAGGAAAAATTCCATTCGAGCTCATGTTTGGGAGAAAAATGCGACTTGGAGTGTTGCCAGAGATCTCAGAAATAGTCCGTGTGTTGTGACCCGATATCGTTCACTTTCATTAAGCATCTCTTAGATCTGAAA